TCAAGACAACAAGAGCAGGGCTGTGATTTCCCAAATATGTGTCTACTTGAACTTGCGATGAATTTTGAGACTTTTTATGCAAAAAAGCGGAAGATAATGAAGAAAGTATTGATGCAGAAGAGGAAGAGCAACCAACAAGACGAAGATTCATGAATCTGATCAACAGCACAAAAATGGTAGTTAGAAATGTTTCAGCTGTTGTTCGAATACCGTATTTCCAAATGTCGAACGATCCAGAAAATTATTTCTATAATCTGCTGGTACAATATGTACCATTTTACTCTGAGAATGAATTAATTGATTAGCATATTAATGCTCGCGATGCTTTTCTTTCTCGAGATGAACAATTGAGACAAACGAATGCGTACCTTGAAATTCATCGTGCAAGATACAGACAACTTGAAACTGCATTCAATCAGGCGCATGCTTTCAATATTTCGAAAATCCAGAAGAAATTGTTCAAGCAGAACTTGAAGATGAAGTTAATGAACAGGCGATGACAAATGAGCAGTTTCAAAATGTCTGTGCTGCAATTAATTTAAGACAGCGAGAATTATTCAACACCATCACTCTCAGCATTCAGAGTCAACTAAATGGAAGTCCGAGTCGCATTAGAATGTTTATCACCGGAGTTGCTGGAGTTGGCAAAACTTTTACTTTTAATGCATTGAAGGAACAGGTCAATCGCTCTTACGGCAAGAAAGCAGTTAAAGTTGGCGCAGTGATCGGTGTAGCTGCAAGACTTGTTGGTGGAACAACAATCCACACATTATTTAAATTCCCAGTTAAAAAAGACGGCAAAATAATAGGAAATTTGGCATCACTTACTGGTAACTATTTAAAGGTGTTACGTAATCAATGGAAGGACATAGAATTTCTACTTATAAATGAGATTTCCATGGTTTCTTACGAAATGTTTTGTATGATGTGCTCGAGATTACGACAATTGAAAAAGAAAGAAAATGAACCATTCGGTGGCATCAACATTATGGTTTTTGGAGACTTGTTTCAGTTGCCACCTATTCGTGGAGCTCCGATATTCGACCAGACTACAAGATTTATTCCGGCAACTAGTTTGTGGAGAATCTTCAGCCTTGTGGAGTTGACAGAGAACATGCGACAACAAGGTGATACACAATTGGCCGATCTGTTAAATGCTCTCCGCGTATGTGAGTTGAAGGCCCCACATTTTGCTCTATTAGCGTCAAAAATGTTGACAGAGACATCTGACGATTTTGATTTAGATAAAGCAATTCGCATATATCCTACGGGTCTATCACGCGCGTAACACAGCCGTCCTTGAACGATATCGATCTCAAGGAGTGCGAGTATTCAGCATTCAGGCTCGGGATGTTTTAATAAATGTGATAAGAAATACAGACAATGCAAACATAGATGACATTGTGTCGGATGACATCAACAAAACTGGTGGATTAGAAAAGGTTTTGGAAATTTTCAACGGAGCCAGAGTGATGCTTCGTTCTAATATTGATATAGAGAAAGGACTTATGAATGGTAACATGGGCACTATCTCGCCTGTATTCTCGCCTTTATTTCGACGTGATCAGGTCTACGATACCGATATTCCAGCTATTCGTGTCGACATTGACAGAGATGGAATTCATTTAATCAAGCCAAAATCCACTCAATTTCCAGCCCTCAGAAATTATGGAACAATCGAGTGAACACAACTCCCAATAATACTGTGCTGGGCCTGCACAGTCCATAAAATGCAAGGGTGTAACGGTGAGCATCTCTTCGCCAGTGACTTCCTGTCGTAAAAAGATCATAAGTTGTTCAAGAAACCTTTGGCTGCTCTCAGAAACACCATCTTTAGTACCTGGCGTGGAAGACATTCTATGTCTCTCCCAGGCTCTTAAAACATCTTCAGGAAGACAAGATTCTACTAAAGGTGATAAAAAATCAGTAAACTTTTCTTTAGATCTACCTAATCTGCCCAGGGCTCGTAAGCGTCGTATAAATTTGACAAATCTTCACTTTTCTTGCCACAGACAGCATTCTTAACAACTAATTTTAGCAACTCTCGAACGTAAACCAGCACTAACAGATCATTTCTGTCAAATCTTTCTTTAAGGAGCTCAATCGCTTTGATACAATTTTGAGCCGTTGGAGGGAAACTCTCTATTAAGCTAGCTGCTCTAGAGCCAGTAGTTATAGCTTGTATTAAATATTGGAATTTGTATTCCGATGGCATTTCCTTATCTTCATGTATTCTAGAAAACTGGTTCCAAATTCCTGAAAAAGATTTAATATCGCCGTTAAATTTTTAAAGTTCCAGCTTTGACAAACGACACTTTCTGTTACTTGGCGCGCTTTCTGCAATGACGCCAACACTATTTTCGATGCGTTCTAATTTTGATTTAAATGAAAGATATTGATCTCCATAGTTTTCATCCTCACTAAACTCTTTTATGTATTCCTTTTCATCATCCTTTGTAATATAATTTAATATTATTTCTGTAATAGAATTCTGTATTCGCGATCGCAACGAACTATATGGGGCGTTGTTGTATGAGACGCATACCTGCGATTTCTATATGAACCGTCATTCAGTTACTCTGGAGACGTCTTTAATGTAGCATGTAGCATTGTAACGCTCCTTCTTTAATGTGGCTTATTAAATTTAAAAAAGAAAAATGTTTGATATCCTTTCTTATACAACCGAAAACAAGATGGTATCTCTTTTTTTTTAAAGAAGGAACATCCAAAACACACCTGAAAAATATTTGTAAATAGAAAAAAATATGTATCTTCTTATTAGAGTTAAAACCTAATGCCTGAGAAATAGTTTTACTAAATTTAATGATATAACCTGAAAGGCCTACTTAAACTTTATATTCCATAGTTTTAAGAATCATATTACTTCAAACATTAAAATAAGCAAAAAGTATACATAAGCTTCATAATTTTATGTAATTTAATTTTGTAAATAAAGTTTTTTGACAAGTAATTTTATCAAAAAATTTTAAGTTTTAATAAAAATCATTATTTAGAAACTGAAAAACGTAAAGTAAAGAATGCTTACGATACAAAACAAAAAAAA